GTACATAGCTGTAAATCAGGCGTGGGCAACCCACGGCCCGCGGGCCAGATCCGGCCCGCCGATAAGTTTTGTATTCCAAGACGTTTGAAAGCCTAGTTAAAGTTGCATTTCTTGTTTCAGAGATATCGCCAGGTATTTTCCAGAATTTTCCTCGCGATATATACCGGGTGGGACAATACAACGACACGTTTTTGGGATTAAGCAACATTTTTAAGCCATATATTGCAAGAAATTTTAAGAGCATAAATGAAAATTTGGATACAAGCTGAATATGGGGATTTATTATCCACGTCTAGTAAATTTTGTATGCAAAATCGTGTCAATTTTCAGGAGTACTTATTGTTTTTTTTAAATGATTTTTACGAAAGCACAAAATAGATCAAGACCAAAAAGAAAAAGATAAATATTGATTTCGTTAAACATACTTTTTATTTGGATTTTCAAGTGTGGCCCGTGGCGCATATGAAAAATTTTATTTTGGCCCCTTGGAAAAAAGGTTGCCCACGCCTGCTGTAAATAATGGTAGGTACCAACAATTTGAATTTTCTGTGCCTACAGTTGGTTTTATCACGATCTTTTAAAATTGTTACTTAGGCACCCATTTTGTTGGCAAAAGTTATGACTTACCATGTCGTACATATGCCGAAAACGTATAAGTATGCGGCGGGCCTTATAAAAAACAAGGATTGCATGTTATTGATTTTTTAAATTTGGAAGCCACGAGTCCAGCGCATATATTGGAGGAAATCAAGTTGATTAAAATATTATGTTCAGTTTTAGCGATTCCGTTACCTGTTTGATAGTCAAAATTAGAAATTTTTCGCAACCCCATTACTTGATAATACGTACATTGTTACGTAATCACTAAAGGCACGGTTTTGCTTTATCGTGCAAGTGAGTACAATATTGTTATCGTTACACTATCAGCATGCGACCAGTGGTTACTCAATTAGGAAAGTTTTTGGAATAAAACATCAGTAAAGTTGTAACACTTTGTTCTGTAATTAGTACCAATTAAAAATAAATTGGTTAAAGTATTACGCAATAAGACTCCTGCCGATTTTTTTTGCCTGCTGATGACAAAACCTGACGTTACCAGATGCAGCGATATGAGCAAGATTATAAATTCATAATGGAGCATTCACGATTACTAGAGCAACGGTGTAGACATGAGAAGTCTGTTTACATCATGTAGGGAACACTTTTTTGGGACTGCATCTTACAAGAGGAAAATCGGGACTCTCGCCAAAAGTCTTGAAATATTTACGTTATCATATTACGTTGTCAACTCGACCTCAGTGATCGAAAAGTGATAAACTTCCCATGGTATTAGAAAATCGTGTTGAAAATCGGGATTAAGTAGTACGGTCTGCTAAACCGGAACAAAAATTAAAAATCTAAATTTGGTCCGGACAAAATAAAATGGTTGATTAGGAAATATGCTTATTATTTCCAGATAGGAAAGGGAAGACATTCCTTAGCGCTGATCTGTTTAGGTAGATGCCCTTTTAAAGGTCAAAAGTAGATGGAAATATAGATGATCACTCACTATACTCTTCTGTACAGGTGTAATGTGGGCACGGGTAGCGTTATCTTTTGCACTAGGATCTAGACATCATATTGGTTTGTATTACTGTATCTTTTCATGTACCGTATGTTCTATATGCACTGCAGTGTATCTCAGCTGTTTTTAAAGATAGAGATTTGCGGTTTTCGCGACACTGTGCCACCTTTTTGTGAAACGTTTAATTCCACGGAAAACAATCAATCTAGCTACGTTTGTTTCTGAGATACAGGGTGAAAAACCTATATTTTTTTAAATTTTTGTTTTAAACCCTTCATTTGGATGTAAATAATATGTGGTAGAAAAATAATCCTCCAACTACGACCGGAAAGAGAAAGGTGACTCTTTATGATTTTTTGCAACTATTTCCGTAACCACGGATTTGGGGATACAAATGGCTCAGTATGATTTTGCTCCTCATTAAATTTCCTACATCTAGTTTTTTCGTGAGAGCACTAGTGTTCTAGATATTGCATTTGAAATGGAAGTTCTCCTCGCTTACTACAGCGTCATATCTGTATGACAATTGGTTCGCATTCACAAAATATGCGGTGTCAATGTATCACAAAATGTTTTTTGTACTTCTTGAAGTGGATTTAGTCCGTGTCAATATCTAGAATAATGTGGACATCAACAAAAAAGAATGGCATTATTCTCATTCAGTTATAATTAATTGAAAAACACGAAAAACGTCGGAAAAGTAGTTCCTATACCTGCGCTTTTCAATATATTCCCCTCGGTTTTGATGCGAAAAGAGACCTGTTTCGAAACAAAAACCGAAAATAGGAGAGGGGACAGTAGGCCAGCTGTCATCAGTGTTGCCATATCGAGGGATTTTTTTGATAGGGGGGTTGGTATATTTCAGAAACAATATCTCAGAAACTATCATCAAAAATGTGGGATTACTTAACAAGGAACAAAAAAGAAATGAACTATTCTTATCGCTCGACTCTTATTTATCGAGATAATTCCAAAAAATCATAAAAATTCACCTTTCCATTTGTCTAAACAATTGTTCCGATCAGAAATGGAGGATTATTTTTTTAACACGTATTATTTACAGTTTGGAGAAGAGATTAAAACTACAATATTGGTTTATTAAAAACTTGTTCCTTATCAAAACCTTTGACGCCGGGACTACGTGGATTCATGGAGATTTTGTTTTGTTTATTGTATCTATGGTAACGACGAATAAATAACAATCGTTGACGGTAGAAGCATGTCATTTCAAATATTTTATAATAATCATATAAAAATGTATAAGTTGTGACATACAATGTGTTGCATTTAAAAAATAGTCACTTTGGGTGTCAGAAACGGTGCTCGTGTCGCCAATAGAAGCTCGAGCAATGAATTGCCTACTATTTTGTGGCGGGTTTTTGGAGAAATCCACCAAAATGCGAAATGCAGGTGAACGGGACGTCCGAAGTGGGTACCCACGGAGAGAATCTGGTAGCCCCCGACGAGATCTTACTGATGGTGGAGTCAAATATTCAAACGTGAATTGCGGGTGCACGGGACGTTGGGGGCCGGTACCTATACTGACAAAGGGAATGTGGTAGCCTTCGACAAGATCTTATTGGTGATGGAGTCAAAAAAGGCTAATAGAATACTGACAAATGCGCTGAGGTCCCTTCGATCTCATACAAGGACTTTGATAATTTTTTCTTATGCCGCATTACTAATACAGGGTTTTTCTAAATGTGATGGAAACACGGATGGAGTTAATTAATTGCGTTATTTGATGACTAAAAGTTCATATAAACATAGGTCCGCAAACGCTTCGTAATCGATCTACAGGGTGTTAAAGTTTCACCGTACACTTTACAAATTAAACCTTTAATTTATAAACATAAGCACAAGATACAATTTCAAATGTAGACTAATAAAAACAAGAAATTATCCAGGGCCCATTTAAAAAATTTACTTTCATTTAGGTACCTAACAACTGAAAATGATTTTTATTTTTTTCTCAATAACGGCCGCAAATACGAAAAAACTACAAGAGACCAACAAGTTTCCAAACAAATCAGAAAATCAAATTCTTAGTTTACAATGTACGAATGGTGCACCGAAAAAGGTTCAGTGGTAGAAAATGGAACATAATCCCTGAAAAAGAACACCCTCACTACCATTAACATGACCAATGGTCCAATGGTGTAACTTATGTTTCAAGTTTGAGCAAAATATCTCAAAAACTGGTATTATTTCGCCAATATAAAAATAATTTGTTGGGGCCTTCTGCTACCGCCAATCCAAAATTTGTTAACATATGACGATCTGACCAAAAAATAATTACAAATATTGGAATGCAGCAATACGCTAAAAAGGTAGCCCACAATGCTAAAAACACTTGTCTATCTGTCAATGATTTATTAATTACTTTTTACTTAAATACCTGTAAAAAATTATGAGCGACACATTGCAACAATGGTCTGTGTGTGAGATGATAAAGCGAAAAGATCGCATGGACCAGTCATATGCCCGTCCTTTAATTTTAACTGGGAGTTGCAGTCAAACTTACCATTTTTCATAAAAGACCTACTGTCTGTTTAATTTAATTTGTATATCCCAGGTTAGGTTAACTGCTATTTCAGTTGATTTGTTGTTCAATTTATGTACATGATATTTGAATATGGATATAAAAAAATATCGAAGCTCTAGACTGCAAACGATTTAGCTTGGCAGAGCCTATTTGCCACATGATAAACGTAACGTCAAGAAGACGAACTTTCTGGAATCAATGTAGTTATGCACCAGGTTGTTTAGGCCGTCTGGGATTGCAGAAGATATGCACAAAATGCACAAAAAATGTTCGATTGGCATTGATAGTGACTTTTGAATTTTCCATGTTATCTAAACTGCTAATCTTTTATATTACTATAAGATTCAGCAACACCTATATCTTACATTCTGAAGCTTGGCTTTTTACTGAAATTTACAGTGAAAAATTATTTAAGTTTTTTGAAGAGATAAAGGTAATGAAAGTATTTCACGTTTATTGAACGTATTCTAAATGGTGATTACATATAATTAAATAAATTTGTAATTAATGAGAGGATTCTTACTTGATGATCGCCATTAGATATAAATTGTCTCAAATTACCCTTTATTTACAGAACGTACAATTTTACAAACGCATTAGCCGCCCAAATAAATATTTTCTTGTACTTTCTCCCATTATGACAAATATTTGTATCAGGTAATGATGTGATTTGCAATTATAAATAGTAGACAGACGGGAATTGTGGCAATTCCTTTCGGAAACTCTGAAGACACATTGTCGCTTTGCCGGCTACGTGGTGTACTTATTAATAGCAGTTTTTTGATAAATGCGAAATTGTGTTTATTACTAGATTGAAATTGCTTCGTCTAAGTAATTGAGATCAAAAGTCAAAAACGATACCGAAATCTTGTTTGTGTTATACACGAGTGTACGTCATACTTAACGCCGATACAAAAGTCATTAGGCTTCAGTCTCTTGATCCAGTGCTTAGTGTTCCAGTTCTATAGAAGCGAAGAAAATGGTGCAAGTTCCAACAGTCACATTTAATGACGGAAAGAAAATTCCAGTTATAGGATTAGGAACTCTGAAGGTATGTATTTATCATTTTATGTAATTTTTATTTATCATTTTTATGCAATTTTGAGTTTGTGTTAAAAAAAGATGATTGTAGCAATACTCTTCTGATTACTTGAATCACATCACATTAAAATGACCATTTCTCGTTTCAGTCCACTCCGGCGGAAGTTATTCAAGCTGTAAAAGACGCAATTGATGTCGGTTACAGACATATTGATTGTGCCCATGTCTACGAAAACGAAAAGGAGGTGGGTGCAGCAATTGCCGCAAAAATCGCCGAAGGAGTTGTAAAACGCGAAGACTTATTTATAACGAGTAAATTATGGAATACTTTCCACCGACCAGAGGCTGTGGAACCTGCATTTAGACGTTGTTTGAAGGAACTTGGCGTGGACTACTTGGATCTATACCTTCTTCATTGGCCCATGGGATTTAAGGTAATTGAATTTTGCATCATTACTTGGGTAAATCAATCAAAGTCGAGTTTTGTTCTTGTAGTTAAAAATATTAGCCAATTCTGTATTTAAGCAATCACTTCTTGTTTTCCTAGAAGTGAAATTCAATTACATTTATCGTGATAGTAGAGGTTATCTCACTGTAAAAACGTTTTTTTTTCAAATAACCAAAGTGTCAAATTGAAATTAATCGATAACCGATTTTCACATTTATTTCTATAATAATTGGATTGATAGCCTGGGATGGAGTATTTTTTTCATTTCGTGCGTCATAAAAACGTTTGGTAATTTGTGAGTGTGTCAATAGCCTATACATAGTTCAGTACGGTTCGATAGATACTTCTTCGTTTGCTCAATTCTTGAATATAGAAACATGATAAACTGCATTTTGATTACGCGGTGAGGTTGGCACATGGGCAATAAACACGAGTAATACGTTTCCTTTTTTGTTAAAATAGGTCGAAATTTATTCACATAAATCCTTACATAAGAAACGCATTGATCGATTAAGTAACCGCCATAATCGTTTATTGTTTATTGCATTGAGTTGGGATGTACTCACGATCGTAACCTAAATTTTTTGATACTCTTTTTTACTTAACTTGGGATGGTTTATTTCAATACCAACATAGTATGAAGTTATATATAGATACTATACCTACTATAAATTTTTATTTTATGTTAACAGGAAGGAGACGACCTTAATCCTGCGGATGCAAATGGCATTATCCCAACAGACTACGATTACGTAGATACCTGGAAAGCTATTGAGGAAGTTTACAAAAAAGGACTGATTAAGTCTATCGGAATCAGTAACTTTAACAAGAAGCAAATTGAAAGGATTCTTGAAGTTTGCACCGTTGTACCCGTAACAAATCAAGTAAGTAACTGCTTCCGAACGTTATTACGAGTACTACTTACCTAATCAAATGTTTCAGATTGAATGCCACCCCTATTTGGATCAAAGAAAACTGTCCGATTTCTGCCACTCGAAAGGAATTACCATAACCGCATACAGTCCCATTGGTGCTCCAGGCAAGGCTCGTCTGCGACCTGAAGATACCAAGCCTATCGACGACAAGATTGTTAAGGATCTGGCAGTAAAATACAATAAAACACCAGCTCAAATTTTATTGAGATACCAAATTCAAAGGAATCATATTATCATCCCAAAAACTGTTTCGAAGAAGAGAATGATTGAAAATATCTCAATCTTTGATTTTGAGCTTGCGGAAAAGGACGTCGCTCTTCTTGGTACGATTGATTGCAATGGCCGAAGTTCTCCATTCAGTCTGTAAGTATATCGGGTCTTTATGAATAACTAGAGGTTTTAAATAATTGTCTTGCAGTGCCAAACGCCACAAATTTTATCCGTTCCACGATGAATATTGAAATCATTGAAGAAGATCTAGTTTTAGTAAATAGGTAGTTGTTTTTAATTTATCTGAAATTAATGATGAACCACAGTTTATTTGACAAGTATTGGTAATGTAGTTTGACTGTTATAGACAAACCCTTAATTTAGAACAGTTTTAATTGATTAAAATGTATTGCTTAATAGTGTTGTACATTTGTAATTTGCGAATTTAAGATGATTCTTTGGCTATACAATAAAAAAAATAAAACGATGAAATAACTTGCTTTTATTGTACTAATTCGACGATTGTCACGGTATGCTGACCTCCAAATTGGAGAAAAACGCAGATTTCATCTGAAAAGTCTTAAAAACAGAACATTTAATTAAAGAAACACAAAAATGTGAGATGTTAGTCTAGAATTTTACACCTTCGACAATATTATGTAAGTATAAGCTTCAATGTTATAAGTTAAATAATTTTTTTTCACATGCTTTGGTAAATTCAACTAAATGTAAATTTTAACTTCACCATTTAAGATGTAATCCATTATCAACAAGCCAGAAAGTCGCGCTAACTAATACATAAGCATGGGGAAGGATTTGTGGTTCATTAATTCATTCTTCTACAGTTCAATTATGGGTCATTTACGCCATAGATGTTTCCAATTTTCCCGCTTAAAACAAATTTATTTACAATTGGTTAACAACCAATTCTAACATTAATCTATAGAAAACAGAAATTTAAAAAAGGATTCCTTTTAAAATAACAAGGATAATCTATGAGCTTTGCGAGATAACCTGCAGTGTAGGTCTTATCAAAAGGAACAAAGTTAAAGACATTCGCAGTATCTTCCAAAAATTCATTAAGCTCTTGAGATATTCATTCAATGTATCATACCAGACAGGAGTTTCAAAAAATTTGTGAGGTATCAAATTCTCTCACTTAAATCAACAATCCGTAGAATTGGTCTGCTGCAGTTCTCTATCCTTCTCGATCTTTAGCTAACCATTTCAGCGCCAAGTAGGATGTACAGGACATATTTTACAACCAGGGCTTGCCCCTAGCATTGGTACCTTCCACAGTATCTCCCAGTAATGTCTTTAGCAAACTTCGTGTAGCTATATAGCAGTGGTATTAGTACAAAACCCATTATATCAAAAACAAAAGGAAAGAAACTTCTAGTAGTGCGAAAACTTAATATCACACACATTTACTTAAAACTCGTTTGTGTAACTGTCCATTTTGTATACCATTCTATTTAAATTTTTAAGAAGTTCGATAAAATTTGTATCCGTTTTTTTAAGTGAACAACATAAGAATAATTGCATTATATGTTCACGTTTAACCCTGCGTTAGTGCGGTGGTGTGTGGTAAACCCCAGTGCCATATCTTTAGCGGATTTCCACAAATAAAAAAAATTCGCTATTCGCCACTTTGTCAGTCCGTCCGTCCGTCCGCTCGTTTTGAGACGCTACTAGTTTTTTATCTTAAGAGCTATTGTTCTACTTTTTTCGCTATTTGGTTCGTTATGGTGTCGAGTCTTGCACCAAGGAAGGAATTTTTTTTGTACCGCTTACAAAAAAAGTTATTGTAAAAAAAAACAAAAAACCGTTTTTTATATGTTCCATAATTTTACACTTTTGCCGTTTATTAACGATCCTAGAGATCGTTTATAATTTTCCGTCTGTTCCTTTGTCTGTCTGTCCCTCTATCTGTCCGTGTGTGTGAACGATAACTTTGTTTAGAAATATCCGATCGCTTTTACATCTCCGTTAGTTATGAACTGAATTGCATGAAATTCAATATGGGCATAGCTTTAGCCATATAATACGCAATGCCAAAAGTTGAGTCGAATCGATTCAAAATTCACAGTGCCCTTTTCGCATCTCGACCATTTATAAACCGAATTGCAAACTTTTTTAATTATAAAAGTATTTAAATGAAATTTGATACATAGCCACTTGGAATAAAAGCAAATTTAACGCCAATTTCAAAATTTGGTTTTGCGCATGCGCAGTGCCAACTTTCTCATTTATGAAGGGATTTAAATGAAAATCGATACATAGCCACTTGGAACAAAGGAAAATCTAATGTTAGTTTCAAAATTTAGGTTTGCGCATGCGCAGTTCCAACTTTCTTATATAGAAAAGCGTTGAAATGAAATTCTTCTCATAAACTGAAATTGAAGTAGCACGTCAAAAATGGATTGCACATGTGCAACGCTATCTTTCATATTTGTGGCCGGATTTTTACAATTTTAACAAAAGTTGCATCTTACAAATAGGAAATGAATGCAAGTGGAAATGCGCTTTATGTAAATCTTTTACGATTACTTTTTAACTTGTTAACATTAGTGTAGTAGAAATCTCATTCATGGTTCTGTAGTTATAAATGCAATGGTCCTTTCAAGGATATTATGCTCGACAAAATCATCATCATTTGCGTCTTATCCGTGGTTTCATCTGCTTGTATTCTTAATATTGTGTTACTAGTCCAGTCATATTAGTGTTTCACCTCGGAATGAAAGATAATAAGCTATAAACTTGTGTAAACCTTTATTTAGTCATTCTGAAAGTTGTCTCAAAAGTCACATAAAATCTCGTGTCCGCGTCTTAAGATATTCAAGGTCAAAGGTCTCAAAAATCGTTTTTTTGCAAATATCTCGTTTCTTATGGTTTTAATGCCATTTGTGCTTATTATAAAAAGTGTAGGGAATAAAATTATCTACAACTTTTACCCCAAAAATTTGTCTATATACTCAACGGTTATTGAGATAAATGACGGTGAGCGCGCGGCGCTTAGTGGTTTACAGTGTAATTCAAGGTCAACCGTAAGTCCAGGTATAAAGATTATAAATCGTTAAAAAATATATAATTATAAATAATTTTCATTGTTTATTAATTAACGATGATAATATAGTGATGTTCTATTGGATTGCATTAATTTACTTGCAGTTTAAGTTCAAATTTTTCAAAATCTTATAATTAGCAATATTTGAGTATTAATTTTCTTCTTCATCATCATCACCGATCGAAAATTTGCAATTCAATATTATTATCGTTGTCAAGGACATTTGTTTCCAGATCTTCCAGAATTTCGGGGTCAAATGCACTGTCTTCATCGAGATCACTTTGATAGGGTGAAGTGTTAAGGCACACTTGTCCATTACACTGGCCGCAAGCTATAGAACATTGCAACCCCGATTTCCTGCACCCACAGCGTGAACCACAACCATTCTTGCAGTTGCAAAATATTGTATTAAGCAATTTATCTGGACTTACGGTTGACCTTGAATTAGACTGTAAAGTGTAAACCACTAAGCGCCGCGCGCTCACCGTCCTTTATCTCAAAAACCTTTGAGTATACAGAAAAATGTTTGGGGTAAAAGTTGTAGATAATTTTATCCCCTACACTTTTTATAATAAGTACAAATGGTATTAAAACCATAGGAAATGAGCTATTTGCAAAAAAACAATTTTTGAGACCTTTGACCTTGAATATCTTAAGACGCGGACACAAGATTTTATGTGACTTTTGAGACAACTTTCAGAATGACAAAATAAAGGTTTACAGAAGTTTACAGCTTATTATCTCTCATTCCGAGGTTGGCCTTATTTTTTGCCTTAAATGACTAGACTATATGCTAATAGCATTAGAAACGTCACGTAATGTAAAATGTTTAGATTATATTTGTCAACCGGATACAATCACCAAATTTGGCATGAACCGTCCTGGAACATTAACAAACAATTTCTGAAGGGTTACTACTTGGAGGGATCAGTGGAAGCTCCTTTTAATAATGGTTTGAACCCCTGAAAATTCACATTTTGCCATTTTTCTCAGAAACTTAATTTATGGGCTGTGTAAAGACCTTGGAAATGGTGCCATGCATGTATAGCTTCTACCTCTGGTTGCCGATGTAAACCGGAAGTTGTGGAAGCGAACAAATGACATGTACCGTTTTAACTGGAGGTGGATGGTATACACATGTATGGTACCATTTTAAAGGTGTTTACACTGGCAAACAGGAAGCTTCACGAAAAATTGGGTATCCGGCCAATGTAAACAAATTTATTATGAATTGTAAAATACTGGGGGTAAGGTGTTTTATTTAAGTAAATAAATGTAATTCTATCGGGCGATCAAAAATGAGTGACTGTCGAGTCGCCTTTGAAAGTTGAAGTTAAGTACGATTTCCCATGTAAACAAAAATTCCAAAGGTGACTCGACGGTCACTCATTTTTGATCGCAATGTATTATCATAGATATCACAAATTAGATTGTAAATATACATGATCTATTATTACATACGAGTCTATTTCTATTATTATATGTTCGCTAATGGCTACGTATATGATATAACTGTGAAGTAATAAATGTATATAAGGAACACCTCACTTAGTTCAGCATGGAAAAGGAAAATACGCTAATTAATAGTATTACAACATATATTTTTACCTTTATACAAGAATATTCAAACATAACAAAATATTGCACTATATAGGTACCTACCAAAGTAAAATAATGTCAAAGTATCACACAGTTTGTATTAATTTTCTAATTCACATGGTACTAATATGGCAATTTTCCCACTTAATGATCCAGAATCCGCATATTACCAGAAACAATCTTATTCTCTAAACTAGCACCAGAAGGAATATCAATTCTGTCCCCGTGATTTGCGATTATAATAACTGTGCCCTGTGCAAATAAATAAATAATCACATTAGTCAGCATTTAACACAATTACCTTCAGGGATACTTTTGCTCCAAATGTCACATCACCGGAAACTGTCAAATGATCCAATTCTATAATGTCTGGAATAGTAGCGAACCTCCCTAAAAATTCGTGAACCTTCGCGAAATGAGTGTCTCCTAATTTAACTAGAGGTGTAGTAGGGAACATGCGTTGATGCGACATAACTAGTGAGCCGTTCTTCAGGTTATACAAATTGCTCATCACCAGCAGCAAATCGGACGTCTTCTTTACTGGCAAGAATCGACTACGAGGAACATTTACGCCGATACCTCCATCGAAGCATTTCATGGCTGCGCCGACGGCCGTTTCCAATTGAATTACATTCAAACCATTACCCAACGATTTATTATTGATGATAATTTCCATATTGAGTTTATTTTCAGCTAAGACTCGGTCAATAGCTACAAATTAGGCAAGATTAAAAAAGTGTAATATAATGTTGAGCCTGTTTTAAACACAGCATCGACTGAGAGGGGTGTATGGCTTCCTATCTTTAGTATATCAAATTAACACAAAGTGATTATAGTTTATGGTGTATGGAATGTAAGAGAAGACAATTTCAGCTCAGTCTATCAAACTTCCAATAGTGTAATTATGAAATTTTCTTACGAAAATCACGGTTACGCGCATTTATTTCAAAACGCCCAAATAGATATGAAAAAATTTATAGAAGATAAATTGTATAGAACTACATTAATAAAAAAAAACTACTTTTAAATATGAATAATAAGCATTGTAAAGTATTTGGATACTGCATCCTAATGTTTTAGACTTTTGCTTCAACTATTATAAATGGGTTGCTGTAGTTTCCACTTACCGATTTTACAATTGAAATGAGGTGAAACAGATTATTAGAAAACAGCAATATCTTACCGTCAAGTTTGGCCCAAATATTATTTGTATTGAAAAACTTAAATGTTTTTACTGATTTAAAATCATCTACATGCTCTTTTGGCACCTGAGCAATTTCAAGAAGACGTAACTTGTGTTCATATTGAATTAATGTACCACCCTGAAAACAGCATTAAATAACTAATTTTGGATTTTGTAAAAACAGTTGTCCTTACCTTAACGTCAGCTCTAGTTTTATCAGTCATTTCCATAACAAATTCGTGTTTTATATCCTTATGATTGGGATTTAACAATAAATCCAAAATATTAAAATCAACTGTAGCGCCCAAATTATCTATATTGGAAATAAAGCAGTACTCTCGACCTTTGTCAAGAAACTTTCTCAAAAGTCCACAGTTTTTAAAACTCTGGTAGAAATCACCGTGCCCCGGTGGGTACCATGCTTCAAGATCATCTTCAAAATTCGGACTCTTCGCTATAGGTAACAGCGTCTCTTTATTGATTCGAGGGTAACACGATTGATTAAACGAATGTATTTCTACATTTAAATTCTTATATTTTCGTATTACCTTCTCAGTATCCTCGTCCGTATTGAAGGAGTTCATTAAGACTAACGGCACATTTGTTTTGTACGTTTTATTTAGGTGCTCTATTTGCTGTACAGTAAGATCCAAAAAGGTTAAATTATTCCTAACTGATATGATCGATTTTGGCCCATGGCAACCCATTGACGTGCCAAGACCACCATTGAGCTTAACTACGATCAATTTCGAAAGCATCTGATGTATGAGATCGGTGGTCGGTGTTTTAAGGGTGTTGTAATCAATAACGGCATCGCCGGGAAGCCTCTCGATACTTTCCCAATTGACAGAGGGACCTTCCTCTTCCAAAAATCGCATGAAGAGTTTCGCGAAACCATTGCTGAGTTCTGACTTTAGTTTGGGTTGGTTTTCGGCAGGAGCGTCTTCAATTAGGTTATCTAGTTCTTGCCTTAATTGATTGAGGGCATCTCGTTTGGTTGCTTCCCTAAAATCGCGGTTTTCACTAGCTGACCTTGCGTGTCCTCTCACCTGCAGAAGAAAATAAGTTGTTAATACACTTTGTTGTGGATCGAGAGTACAAGACGAACCCCTGGCCATCGAATATCAGTACTATTCAACATGACTAGTTGTGAAAGAAGCAGTATAAACAATTCTGTTGCGCCAAACCAAGTTTGTCCATTTTATTCCATGGGCCAACAACAAAAGAGCAAGGGTGTATCCAGCAAATGTCAGTAGACTTACATAAAAATCTGCCCTCGAAATTTTCCTTCATTGGTACGCACAAATTTTGAGAGGAATTTTTCAAAAGAAGAAATTCAACATACGGCGCCCAGTGGCCAAGTGTTTTTAAATATCTCAATTCTGTTTGTGGCAACGACAATGTTGAAAGCAAACAAAAGAAACAAAACCACGCTTACGTACCATCTATAAATAGAACACGGGAACCTCCCGCCATATTGGATTTCGTGACCCTTCAGGTCATGACCTGAAATTTGGCTCAAGGCCGTGGTTGCTGTCTTGGATTCTGGACCCAGGTCGAGGTCTGGGGGTTTCCGGTAACGTAACTAAGAAGTGACCTTGTTTTATGGTGCAAGGTCCTGGCCTGGGATTTTCCAGTGCTATAACTACCTAAGGCGTGACCTTGTTTTGTTTCAAGGTCGTACCCTGGGAATTCCCCAGTGATGTAACTAGAGAGTGACCTTGTTTGTGGTGTAAGATCGTTCAAAACGAGAAAAAGGTTATTGCAATGAGGTTAATTCAATTGTTAGATATATGGAATTTCTTATTGTTATTATGGCAAATCAAAATTGAAGTACTGAATAGTAAAAGGTAAAACCGTTACTTCCATATAAGTTAAATAATTCATATTGAAAAACTTCGCTACTCTTAAAAAATGGCAAATTATGCATTTTCAAATTTTACAAAGAAGAAAAAGCAAAGCATTCAAGTAAAACAATAAAGGCTCTGTGTTTACATACATATCATGTTTTCCTAATTCATGTTCTTCCTAAACTTAAAGCTTGCGACCTGTATCGTGGTGACAAGAAAGCGTTACACACAGGCGCGCGCACCCGCACATACATAAAGATGATTTTTAAAAATTTCATTTTGGTGGTCCACGGACCTCATTTGAAATTTGCATATGAAAAATTAAATAAAAATTGTTTTCTCGATAAAGGGAGCTTGAACAAACGCCTCTACGTATAGGCGCTTATAACAAGAATTAGGAAAACGTTAGGTAGATGTATAAAAATACAGTACTGTAAAATGCATAATTTGTCATTTTTTAATAGTAGCTTAGGATTTCAATACCTATTTGTTTCACCATTAACTATTCAATACTAATGTTTATTGCAACAAAGACAATAAACAATTGCATATATCTAACCAATTGAATTAATCTCATTGGAATAGCCTTCGGTTTCAACAACCTTGCATCGCAAACAAGGTAATTCCTTAGTTACACAACTGAGAAAATCCCAGATCACAACCTTGTAACAAAATACGGTCACGCCACTTGCACCATAAGGTCACTTATTCTTATTTACGTAACTTCTGCCGGGGAAATTCCTGACAAGGACCTTGCACCCTAGAACAAGGACCTTGGACCAAAATCCAAAGGCCATAGACCACGACCGGTTAAAATCCAAGATGGTGATAGGTGTCCGTGTTCTACTTTTACATAACTGCGTTTCGCTAACACAAACTTGTAGTTTGCAAAAATCAAGAAACATAATGCATACAATCGTATTTTTATGGTCTTAAGCCCTTGCACACATACCTTCGATAGGGCCTTGTCATTATTGGTTTTGGAGTTGGTATAAATACATTTATTATTCATTTACCTACACCAAATGCAAAACCGTAGTAATAACTTATAACAACCCACAACAACCTAGACAACAACTGTCCAACGGGCGATTGGTTCTACCATTTCTTCAACAAAATCCCTTTAAATTATGAAAAGCTATCGATGCAAACCTTTTTATCCCATTTTTACTAGTTTCAGCCGTCAAGAGGAGTTGCTATAGTCATTGGATGAGACAGAGTGGTCTTTGGCACTGGTGTTCTATGGGTGCGCAAAAAACTTAAAACAGCTTTTACAGTGTTAGCGCTCCGAAGGGAACCAATAATGTGATTTTTAATGGATTCCGTTTAGATGGATTGCTCTCGATTTCGGGTATAAACATTCAGACAGAAATGCAGTATTCAATGACAGAAAAAAAAGTGCAAAAGCATAGGAATAATAGTAGATCTATATTTAGTTTTTAAAAGTCACCGCTAACATTGCATTATCACGAAAACGTTTCAATTAAAACGGAATATTCCCAATATACGTAAATATAGAAGAGTTAAATAACAGCGTCATTAAGGTCAAGGTGTCACAATAATAGTGTTGTATTTATAGTAAAACGATTTGGCGTCAATTACATGATTTGATTCCAATTTTCAAATTCATACACTACAAGGCGTGTCCGTCATATAGCCGCCAGATTAATAGAGTAGCGCCGTGGACTCTTTACCCGGGGCCTCCAAACAAAACAAAATTCGTTGACCATTTTGAAGTGTATCATTTGTTTTTATTAGGAAGTGTGCGTTTACACTTAAAAGCTTTATTTATGAATCATGAAATCATACTCGTCTCTCTCAGCTGCTCACCGATAGGAATTGTTTGATACTTGCAAACATCCCAAAATACAAAATAGAATGCACAAATTATCTACAAAATTGAAGAAGTAGTTGGGACTAACGAAGACGGATAAATGTAAACTAATAGCATAACTTTCCTTGGCGAAAATCAGTAATCCGACATTGAGTGTAATACTACCTACTCGAGTACCTACTACTCCACCAAATTATGGATGTACCTACAAATTGCTATTTGCTATAAACTGACAAGAACGGGCGTAGGTATAACAAGCAAAATTCGCGTAAAAGTCAACTTGCAACGTAAAGCAATACCAGCGATTGCCAGCAAAGAAGTTGTTTGCTGATGATGACATCACTGTTATCAAAACGAAATTAATCCTCATAAAATGTAACCTGAAAAAATTAACAAAATACACACCCACGCGCGTATGTGTTTGGAGTACAATCCCGCTGGCAAGATAAGTTAATTTTGCAAAACCAAGGCCACCATACAACTATATTATGGAAGTCATTATGTATTAAAAACTTGATTACGTGATCGTGCACGCACAGACATACAGACACGAACATTCTCGAACGCTTCTGCAGAAAACAAAAGTTCTTCGCATCCATTCAAAAAATCGTCAACAAAATTCCCACGAGTCAGTCATCACTATGATTATTATCTACCGTCACACATTTTTTCAAAAAGCTCCCCCTTTGCAATCTATATTATAGCGCTCTTTGGACACATTAAAAATTACCTTGTCGTAAAGGGAAGTCATAATGATGTATGAAACACCTACTCTCACGTCTCCACACAAAACTATTTAAATCATTAAGCGACTGAGATATTTACCACATTTATAATATTGATAACTTATCACCCAGAAACGTTTCTTATCAAGGAGTAAAAGTATTGCTACTGAAAAGTGGATGTGATCTTGTTATGCAACAACGGTACTATACTACAATTCATGTCATGTGTGCATGTGACATTGATAATTGTACCAGTAATTTAAATTCGTGATAAAGCATAATACAGTAATTAATACAACTACTTCACTATCTTTTATAGTGTGCGTGCTGCATTAAAAAGAAAGTGCAAATTGTACCTAAGTGTCAATTATTACCCCCTGTAATAGTGATATAGGTTGCTAAATTAAATTAACTCTAGGAAATCAACGTCTTTGTGTAAGTATATGTGCACATTCTGACTGTAAATGCATACATTACATAAAGAATGTCTCAAAGGTTTGAAACCTTGTATACAGTGTGTTCTAACTGATATCGGTACAATATTGCTAACTTTCTTATTACTATATAGCTACGAAGTCGGCAAATAGGAATCATTTTGGCTTACCAGTGTAATTATGTAAAATGATCACCGGGTTATAGTGAGATATTCAATAAACTAACATTTTTCTAAATTGAACGTACTTGTATTTTTTACATATTGAAAGAAAATGGTTAATGATCATTGCTATTTTCCGGGAGTTTCTCAAAATTGTTCTATGTAATGGTCGTAATACATTCTTGAAGAAAATGATACTTTGGCTAATAAGTGGACTAATATACAGTGTGTATTAATGGGTTAATGGGGTAGTTGCAATAAAACACAGACGTAAAGTAAAGACGATCTTTATTCGACTACAGCTTTCGTGTGATTGAGATTTTATTAATGTGGCCAAGGGTATACATAATATGTATTCTTTAGAAAACAAAGAGGGTTTATTTTATATATGGAAATCAAGCATGACGCCCTTCTAACATTCTTAGACATTTTTAGTGCCTTACAATTTCCCCCTTTTACCAATCATAATATATCAATTAAGTGTGACGCGACATATTTTTTGTATACCTATTCAACAGTGTGTTCAAGATAGAGATGTCTATCAGGGTAATTTCCAAAACTGTAGAAGACACGAAGATGGTCAAATTAGAGAAAAGTTGCGCAATTAAACAGTAATTAGGTATCATACTGTTTGAAGAAAACCAGAAAATTCCGACTTTGTCACTGAGTTGGTGCGTAAGTTTCAGGCTCGGTTTCAGGCTACGGGGTCAGTATGTAATAAAAAAAAAATTACACAGTGTAACAGGTGGTCGCTTTAGTCTTAGAAAATTTTGGTTTCAAATTTTACAAAATTGCCATTATAGGAAATTTTTTACGTGTAACGCTCCATAATGAAAAAGAACGGACCTAAATGCGAAAAAATGAAATGCACTAAGTTATGATGCCAGTGGGAATAGATAAGTCCTTACGGAGCATGATGGTCGCGCATTTTACAATACCTCTAAATAGCATTATGCGGGTCGCTCTGTAATTGGGCGCATGCCTGTTGAGGGCCTAAAACAAGAGAGGGATAATAATAATAATACCTCTAAGTATTTATACACGTATAAAAAACAAGCATAGTTCTCGTTAGGTCCGTTTCGGGTTTTTAACTCGGCGAGTACATAAGTAAAAATTTGGTGGGAGAAAGGGATCTTCGCCAAACTTTCAGCGAAACTATGATACTTGAGCCCAGCATTTTTTTTTGGATTGCGTAAAAGTTCATTTTCAATTAAAGGTTGGAGACGAAGCCGTATAATCGAAGGATAAGAACGAATAGTCAGCCGCATAATCCTACGTGTTATTTTATTACGAAAGTTGAAATTAATTACCAAATCCTAAGGGAAAACTGTGCAGCCATTTCAATGCTGCTAAGGACACGGGGGCTTAGAAAATCTTATTACACTTTTGCGATCAAACAAATAATTTTCAAGATACAAGGTTACAATAACTACCAGGTCAGTTTTGAAAAAGAACAAGGAAAAATTCGAGGAAAAATCGGACGATCGGAGAATTGCTTTCTTGAGAAGATTTGGTTACGTACGTGGTTAAGTTAATTAAAGGTGGGCGTGGTAATTAGTTATATTTTAAAAATATTTACTTAAATTTTGTCTTGTTTTTATTATATTATAAAGGTATATGACTGGATAAGGGTCTAATACTGATTAGTTGCTTGCCTAATTAATTACAGCATTATTTATTCCGTCTATCGACTATCCTGTGATAATCACTATGATAAACATTATTCCACCGCATATTCACATTTTTGTAGTCCCTAAGACAAGTAAAAGCTACACTGAACCATTTGCTAATGTTTTGCAAATTTAATAATACGAAATGTTCAAATTTATAGTTTGTTTCGAGTTTTCCTCATTTTGAGATATTGCTTATCCGACATCGACCCATTTCCATAAATCTCTTCCTGGTACAGTTTTGATTAATTTAGTGTGCGACAACGAAGTACATATTTCAAACGTGAGTAAAGGTATCATTTTCATTTCTATTGCATGATAGGATTTTTATAAAGGCGTAAATAATTGAATAATAAATATAATAATCAATCTGAGTGGTTGTGCAAAAATCTAATTATCAAATTATGAATCTCTTACCATGTTTGTCATCGTTTTGGTAGGTTTTGTGTACACCATGATTGAAAATAACTCTTCAAACTGCACTTACAGTAAAGTGGTATTAAATTTACATTTATTAATACAAAGTGACCGTGAATAATAGGCCTATTTTTAGATTTAAGTACAGCGAATATTAAACCAAATTATCCCATTTATGACCATTTTACAAAATTAAATTAAACCTCTATATTTGTAATTACAAGTTAAATAATTTTGTCAACGCGTTCTTCAGGTTTATAAAGTTGATACTGATCTTTAATGTATTCGAATATGATTAAGTATAGAAGTATGTATTTACCTAGAGATTTTTAATTGCCAATTAGCAACCACGTAATGTGCTAAACAAATTACGCAGTTTCCAGGGAGAGCAGAATGAAAAGAAAAAAATTTTTTTTAAAAAGCAAAAATTTGGCAAAAAAGGCATATAATTGTGACAGGTCTGAACGGTTTTCTGAAGTTTTTGTGTACACCTACCTTTATAATTATTGATCATCATTCCCTTGAGGCAAGCACTTTTTCTGAAAAATTCTGAAATTTTTTTCAATGTTTTTGAAACTAGATGCTCAAGCTGACCCCCTTCCCCTCCCCTAAGGCCCATTTCTTTTGTTTTTGACAAGAGCATAAAACACAAAATCTTGGCGCATGACAGTTAATGTGACGATGTTTTGGGGGAGGGGGGGGGTTCAGGGGGGTAGGAGTCTTTCCGTAACTGCGTCTATATTAAAAAAATTAAATTATTTCATTAATAAAAAATTGCAAGTAGACCCATTTGTACCTCCCCTATATACTTTTGACACTTTATCGAAATGGCCTTGACAACCATATATACCAAAAATATGTTGACACCATATATCCTCAAGGTCTCATGAGAGATTTATGGTATTGTATAACATAAAATTGGGTACATTTTCTGTAACAGGAAACCATGCAGTTTTGTAGGTGCCAGTGCATAAAATGGTAGTACTTAATGATAACTTGTACTAAAATTGATGAAATTACATTAGTTTAAAATTACGGGTCAACGTGGTAAGTAATTGTTTTTCAATTAGCATTTATATAAATAATTAATTAACAGGAAATACCAACCTATCACAATATAATGTTTCAGTATCATAATATTTACGTTGCTAATAAAATTGGTAGGTAGTCAAAGTAATAACAATGTTATTATGTGACTTTAGCGTTTAGCAAATATCCAAATAGTAGTGGCGAGTACATGTCGGACGTTGAAAGGTCGTGATGAACACGTCTTAATAATTAAAAGTTAGTAGAGATAACCTCTCGAAAAAAATTCCACACTTGTTTACTTACTTTCTTATCATCGTCGTCTACTTTCAACATATTGAATTGACGATATTTTGTTAATAAACCGCACTAAACTTTATATAAACAAAATATTAGGGAGTAAAAAAAACAACGCGCAGACTCCCTGAAATCCTATGATTTTTCATTACAGGTCCGTAGTCGCGCCATATCCAGGGTCGGACTTTGACGAAATTCGACGATGACCAATTTACCATATTTTGCCGTCGGCGAAATTGTGAAAGGGTTCGGAAGAGGATCCAAACAACTGGGTGTACCTACGGCAAATTATCCACCTTCAGTCGTCAACTTGTTACCGTCAGATTTAGAAAATGGCGTCTATTACGGATTTGCCTCTGTAAACAAAGGGGACATCTACAAAATGGTTATGAGCATTGGATGGAATCCTTTCTATAATAACACAGAAAGATCTATGGAAACGCATATATTGCACAAATTTAACAGGGATTTGTATGGGGAAGAGTTACGGATTTGCATTCTGGACTACATAAGACCAGAACGAGACTTTAATTCAGTAGAAGATTTAGTCAAAGCTATCAATAGTGACATCGATTATGCAGATAAAAATTTAAACTGTTCTGAATATGATTTATACAGAAATCATTCTTTTTTTAAAAAGTGATAGATGATTTATAATTCTTTGGATACTTGACATATTACTTTAATTTTTTTGTACTTAGCACTTTTACGTATTCATTTTAAGCGTACGCATTTTCCTGTTATCGTTTCAGTATTTACACTACATATTATATGCATATAGATCTATGAGGTATCAATCAAACGACTCAATATGTTTTCATATACGCTTTTGTTAATTTCTTTGTGTGTGTGTGTTGTCATAATCGTATTACTTTATTACCGGAAAAAAAGATAAGTATAGGTATCTATAGGTAATATGTATATAACAATACAAATCAAAAATACATTGATGCATTTCCTCTTGCGCTCGTTTCGTGCTTACTTCATAGTTGTAGCCGATGCTGAAGTAGAGCCACGCCCATTTGAAGTTGTTTTTAGATACATAGGATTTATCACTTCACTACTTTAAAGGTTGTTTTAGATGTTTGCAGTAGCGGTCCCAGGATTTAGTAAAGGGAGGGGCCCAAACCCGAACTTTGTCCCAACACGGAAAAAAATAAAAGAAATCTGATGAAAAAAAATGAACAATTGGGGGGGGGGGGGCCTGGAACCGCCACTGGATGTTTGTACTAATTTGTAGATCACCTAGCTTTTCATTTTGTATTTGTTATTTCATTTGTAGGTATCTTGTTTTTATTAATTTGTTTACTGTATTTGTTTGGGTTACTTGATTTTTGTTTTTCTCGTTTTGCTTTTTGTTTCCATAACTGATTTATTTGTGGTATCTGGTGTGCGTGTATACGGCAAGTTTTTTTTGTTGGTTGATTTTTTTCTGGGTTTTCGATCTCAGTTTGCTCCGCGGAACCAAACCTGATCGTGCGTAATAAATGTCATTTTTCTTATCTCGCACGCATAAAGCTCGGAACGTGATCGTGAAGGAAATTGAATCAAAGTACGTACGAGTTTTGTGCCGAAAAAGGAAAAAAAACCTGGCATAATCAACTACAAAAACTACACGCAAAACAGAAATATAAATGCAAGTGTGTGAAATCACATTTGAAGTAGGGTAGGGAATTTTTAGTTACACTGCCCGTCAGTGGCGGAGCCAGAGAAACTTTTCAAGGGGAGCACATTGTAAATATAAAAATTTTAACTTCGATCGCAAAGACACTCCATCCCCACGGGATTCTTAAAAATAGGAGGTCCGTGTCCATCCCACAATTACTGTTATGTAGAACAGATTGTACGTATAGTGCACATTTTTTAAAATATAGAAAGTGGGGAATGTAATGTAAATACTGTAAATTAAGTTGTCCATAAGATTTAAAAGGGTGTTTTTGGGCTTGTGAGAGGGGACAATTGCCCCCTGCTGAATCCGGCACTACTGAGCGTTAGTATTTCGGACAGTCTACCTCGTAGTTATAGTAACTTTGAACTTCGTTATCGCGATCAGAGCCTTGATCGGTTAGGATCTTACAAACTATAATTAGCAAATGGTTCACCCACCAAGAAATCACTAACAATTTTCTTTTTTTTTCAAAACCGGAATGTAATCCAACATTTACGAATTTGTATATTTTCTAAATTAAAAAGATATAAAAGAAATAGAAAAAAAATTCTTAACGCTTTCCTTACAATGGCGCAAACATGCAGGTAAGATATACAACGATTAAAGAAGGTACCAGCATTTCTGAAAACCGAGCGACTTGGAATTTCAATTCCAGCTAGAACCAATCGCGACTTCTCAGATGAGACAATAATGTTTTAGTTAAGCATAACTTAAATACCATAGCAACGATTGTCTTAATAATCGTTGCCATAGATTTTAAGTTCGACTTTACTTTAAGCAAGGCTTAATTTTGACGGTGCAATTGGGCATAATGTGAACAAACAACGTCATTTTATCATTTGTATAGATAGATCGAAAGGTCACATTTTTGTTATCTGAAAAATGCAATGTTGTTTTGTTTTCTTAATTACAAAATTGGATTCAGTAGAAAAATACATAATTTTGATCTTTCTAACTCTACAACTAAGAAAGTTAGCAATAGTTTCTACTTATTTTGAAACAGAATGTATATATAGGATGTTAAAACCTTGAACTAATCTACCGTTTCGCCTTGTATAGTATATTGTAGCCGTCAGCCATGATTTAAACCACAGACCATCAACGTTTAAACACTTCATAAACATAACCTCAAAAAGCAACTCTCACTTTTGCAATAAGAATACAAGATAAATTGCAAGTCCAGATGGCCCTTTCTTCGGTCAATAAATTCGCATTGCGTCTATTAAAGGTAACTAAAATGTATTATGATATTCTGCTCATCGTAGCACCTTAGGACTTTCGACCTGGTTTGTTAGCTCCTGCTCTTACAAACACGAATTTGGATATAGTTCGACATAGAAGAACAAAACATTTCAATCCAAAGTTTAGGCAGCTTCGGAAACTAAAAGTAATAAAAGTGAAACTGCCAAAGTTTAATGAAAATACCGACGATTTAACTGAGGAAGAAATACGTTCAAAAATGAAAGAGCGAGGCATGTTACCTCCCAGACCATGGATAGAAAACCAGTATTTCATATCGTCGACGGGCGGCATTTTCGAACCTTATGTACCACCAGAAGGCGACGGTAAAGTTTCGCCCGTGTCCGCTCAAGGTGCCAAGCAGAAGTTACAGTTTCTCGAAAAGAAAACCAAAACAATGATGGCAATTCGCAAGATTCGGTCATTTGAGGAGGAGTTTGATACTCCCACCTTTTGTAAGTTAGCAGAAAATATTTATATTAAAGCGCACGAGTGTATGATGTCAAGAGATGAAGAAGAAGTTATAAAGTATGTAACGGAAACAGCGTATCCTGAAATATTAAATAACATTGCTAATAAAACAATTCGTTGGAAATTTTTGAAGAATATAGAATTGCCCAGAGTTGCTCACGCACGCTGTACTGATGTTATTACAAAGGAGAATATTTTTGCACAGATAACCGTTAGATTTCACAGTCAGCAGGTAATCAAATGATTTAAGATTTTCTTTGGTAAAGTTAGAAGTAAATTGCAGGTGTTGGCAGTTTACGACAGGTTTGGTAGGCTACTACATGGCAGTGAAATTATTGCAAAAGATGTTTTGGAGTATGTTGTTTTTGAGAAGCACTTAGCCAATGAATATGGTGTCTGGCGTATTCACGGTAAAATAATTCCAGATTGGTTACCCCGTCGAGATGCTACTTTACTCACTCATAAGTTACCCTCTACCAGTGAAACGGGTGTAAATACAAAGAAGGCGGATACAGTTGTAGCACAACCATCAGAAAGTGAAACTGTGACTACATAGTTTGTTTGTAATTTAGAAATGTAGTTTTTTAATATTAAATAGAAATGTACACATTGTATCTAGAATCCTGGGAGGAGCATGTTATAGCATTTCAATGTGCACCTTCATTCCACTCAGCAACCTGTACCTTGACCTGTTATATGCCTCACAGCCTCCTTCTTTCTGCCGTTAGGGAAGGTTAGACCATTACCCTCATTGGCTAGTTCTTCATGCTTAGATACCTCGTTAGATACTAAAAGTGGGTACTCTAATAATGACTCACCTCTTTTGTTGCTGCAGTACGCGGTTCCATACAGTCGCATTGCATGTTCGCATCCGATAATGATTTGCCACTTTTCAACTTATTATTATGCCATGGCTCATTAATTGTTTAAATTCCTTGGTAGGTGGCAATCCAAGCACTGCTTACTCCCTTACTGCTCCCTCCATCCCATACTGCTTCTGCAACAAAGGTTTTATAATGGCGTTATTGTGATGCTTTTTTGGTGTGTGGATGTATTATAAATACTTCTCACCTTCGGCTACCTCTTTCTCGTTTTCATCGGAATTCGGTTTCTCGGTTATTGTTTGTAAAAGTTCACGTGAGCCACGCCCTAAGACGTACCTCCCCCAACTCATCCCAGGAAATCTGGTTCATCATGACAACTGACTGTTACGCTTTAGGATCCCCCTAATCCACCTACTCTCCTCTCCCACGTGTTTTGCTTGCTCTGACACGTAACTATCTATTCCAGTTCCTCTGTAGGCCCAGGAATTCAAACTAGTGCCTTTACAGGTTTGAGAAGGTTTCGAGGAACGGAAGCTGCGCGCCCTTCTCTCACTGTAGCGGCCCGCCCAACCATTCTACTGCTACTCGGTGAAGTCACTCCTTCGAGTTCATGGTGATCTTAACAAGTCCCCGACTCACCTTTCGTATGCATAGCCTCTGGGTTTTGATTGATAAACACTTTTTTCCTCCTATCGGTATCCCTTAAGGGTTTCATGTGAGGAGTTTCCTTTGCAGCCCTCAATTTCCACCGCTGAGCTAGTGTTTTGTTTATCTGATGTCTGGTTCCTACTCTCCACGAGCAGCTAGGGAAGGAAAGTCCATCCCTGTAAGGTGCCACGTCCGGAGGTAACCTTTTTATACTAAGACTCCAATGAATCACGTTCCGCTGCCAGAGCTGTTATTAAGATTCGGGAACAAAAATAGTAACTGGGTGCTAGATCTTGACTATAAGGCGAATGTTCAATTTTTTCAAAGCCACAATCAGCTACGAGCAGCTCTTAATAGTTTGGACTCTGGTGCATAGACGCATGGAACAGGAAGACACCTTGCATCAGTTTTCTGCTTCTAGCATCTCGAAGGCCGTAATACCCCCAATTACCCCAGAGTCCCTAAAAATGGTGTAACCACCCTCAAATAGTTGACGTAGAAGGGCAATCATCACCATATACAGCCAACATGTCTTTAAGAATAATTTTTGGAGATTTTCTTTGTTTTGTAAGGAATTTATAACAGCCTGGAATTCCATTTTATTCATTTCGATACATACACAACGCGCGACGACACATACTGAAACATAACAAAATGAATGTTGCAATTGTTTTGTAAATTGTCACACAAGGCATATGTGATTAAAAAACAGCATAAAAAAATTGCATCAAAATTCATAACAGCCCACTCTGGAAATATAAAAACGACCCTCGTACGTATTTCTCAGGTAAAAGATCAGGTTGGCGTCTAAAAAACGAATGGAAAACAAAGGGAAACCATAATCGTATAAAATATGTGTATATATTATATTTAAAATTAACTCTCACATTAAAAAATTAATGCAATTATTAAAACATATTTACAATATATTTATACATTATGACTATTTAAATGAAATAAAGACTAGAATACTTTATTAGGAGAACCAGTCGGTAGTCATAGAACCAAAAAAAGCTGCAGCTCCTGATCTCACACTACTTGCTGAATTTGAAGACTTCTTATTTACATCCGAAGACAGCAAGTTGTTATCCTGTAAAGATGCATTATAATTGGAAATGGTTCACAGCAAATAAGTTAGATTTAGTAGAACAAGTAAACTGTTAATACATGCCAAAAAATATATCAAACACACAAAATTTACCATATTTTTATCAAATTCTGCTACTAAAAAAATATAAAATATTTACATTAACTTGATGGCAGCCGAAAAAACTAACCTTGTAATCCCTTGGCTTCAATGAGGATGCTTGTGGAATTTTTTGAATGGGTGCAGTAACGGGTAACAGTGGGAACCATGACGTTGTGGAAGGAACACTTATTGCTAACATAGAAGGTTCGTTCTCGTGTTCCTTGTTTCTTTCTGGCAGACCCAGAGAGGCTAACTGGCCCATATTGGGCAGCAAACATCCCAAGATAACCTAAAGCCAAAACATAGCAAAATCGATTCACTGACAACAAGGAGCTACCTGCGACTGCAACACGGACATCTTCACATTGTTTTGAAGATACGAGTAAAATACATCCAAATCGAAGGGATCTATTTTCGAGCGCAAATTATCACAAATTTGTTGCGATTTTGACACTAAAAGCGCATTCTCCCTCAATATACACAACGTGGTTAAGTATTTCACGTCAAATAAAAACTGCAGGGCTTGTATCTGATTTAAGTCCAACTGGGATAGAACTTCGTACTGCTTCAAGATGACGCTGACATGTGCTTCTAGGTATTCTAGATGAACCTGCTTGGGCAAGGTGTGTGGGATAATTGCGTTCAAGCTATCATTAATTGTCGAAAATATCTTCTGTAGATTTAAGTTGGGTTGCGATGGAAGCTTTATTTGGGATTTGAATATTTTTTCGTCTGTTTGTTCTTGAATTTCTAAGTTTTCCCATTTCTGAAGATAAAATGTACCAAATTACTTCAACTAGCTACAAAAGTGATGATGCGGTACAAGAGACAACACTGTCTTGTCTTGTCACAATGAAAATCATTTGCCAGATGTTCATACTTTTGTTGTATTAAGTAGACGATAAAGTATTAAACAAATTTAAATTAATAACTTACGGGAAGTATATGCAGCATATTTATGACATCAATTTTCTGTAAATCATTGGTCAGAATTTCCGTTTGGGAAACGCAATGACGAACCCAATTGTGCCAAAACTTCAAACTGCAAGCATTGAGACTATTACAAATTTGGTCCCACTCGTTCGAGTGACCGTTGCAGGATGAAGACTTTTTAAAGTGGGGACATAACTCACATAGCGCCTGTAAAAACCTTGCGCATATTAACGATTTTGTTATATAAACCGCTTTATCCTGGTCCGCTAAAAATAACTGTTCCAAAAACGTGGTTACCCTAGATAGAGCAATAATAAGAATAAATTATGGCAAATTTCAATAGCATACTTGGTTGAAATGTCACGACATTCAAACCGCAAGCATTCTTCTAATTCAATTTTATCTACATATTTCATATTTTCCGTTTTGACAAATCGAACATCTTCCTCTAACTTGGCATACTCTTTCCCATACAGATACAGTGAGAGATCCTCCAGTAAATCCAAATAAATATTATCAAAATTTGAACAAAGCTGCACAATTTTTTGAGAGTAGCCCCTAGTTTTCATTGAAAGTCCTGCAAATTGCCAAGCAGTGTCATATTGAATTTTTCCACTGATAGATTACCTATGTGTTTATCTTCATTTCTGCTAACATCCGACTCTTCATCTTTCCATATGTACCATCTTAAATCTCGTTCTGAGTGTTCCGTTTTACTAGACTCTTGTAATGCTTTAGTGATGGTAGTATAAAAATCTAAGCAACTTTTTGATGTTTTTTTTAACATTAACGTCTTGGCGCGATCTGTGATTAAGGATTGAAAAAAGTAAAACCACACGCTAAAATCGCGAGGTAAATTAAGATTTTTACATACTGTCTCCCAATTTGTAGGTATTTCTGCAAGAAGAGGTTGATTTTAAGATCCAAACTAAGAAAATTTACAAACCAATTTTAAATGCCTCTTCGCGAATAATGTATAGACCTTTAATATTGGTTACTAATTCTAATGATGTACGTAAACCACTTTTAATACTGTCCAAAGTTGTTCTTGTCCAATTCTCGATTATTTGTGGCAGTTCTGCGGTATCAAAGGTTTCATTTGCGTTATTCCCTTTTGGTCTGAAAATAAACAGGTGGTAAAGACGTCGCACTCACGCGATGGTGCTCATATAGCAGTATGACAAAGAGAACATCATCTATCTATCTATCATCAGTACCCATTTCTCAGGTACCGAAAAGTGAAATTCAACGGTTCACGAGGTAAAGGTTAATGTTACCCAATTTAGTCCAGTCATTCTATGCCAAAAAACGTCAAATTGAAAAAATATTGGTGTAGTTCCAATTTTTTCGGAAATGTGTGGAAGAAGGTTCCTAATGATTAATTTCAATGCCGCTGGCGGGAGGAGAAGGGGTTGTGCTACAGTTTTGCGGTGTTTCACCTATATCTCGAACACAGTGACTTGTTAGAAAAAATTTTCTTATCGAAATGGAAAGCACATACAATTTGCTACAATTTTGGTTCTATACATTTAAAAAAAATAGTGCAAAATAGTATAGATTCAATTTCTATTTTATGCAAGAGGGAAATTAAATCCAAAAAATATAATAAGCCTGTTATACAGTAAATTGAGTAGATGATCAGATACAAAGTAAAGCGTCTCTGATTCCCAATGGAGGTTAGGCATGGGATCTTCAGTTAGTAGAGCAACCTTAACTGAGCCCTCGTCTACGTATAAACATAAGCATATCAAACTCAAAAATAATATAGACATAATTGAACTTCAAATTTCTAAATAGAATTTTACTCAGCATACCAAGTCGTAAAACCTATGTCCATATTAAATAATGACAAAGTTATTCATTTACTTCGACCTAGGACACTTTGTACTAAAACAGATAAGACAGAAACATTAAAAGATCCTCGGATTTTTTATTTATATATTCTGAGCAACCACATATTCTATCAAAGACCTGTAAAATACAAACCTAAATTGTGTAATCACATCAGGAATGTAGTTCACCAATGGTGTATAAGGCAGAATTACTTTAGACAAAGTAAATGGTGCAGTCTCGCTTATAATATCATTTAATTGTTGCCATACTAAACCACACTCGGAATTGTTAAAATCTACGACGGAGAAACTATTATCGAAAAAAATAAGACAGGCATACTTACTAATAAAACATTCGTGTAATAAATGAATGGTGGCTACAAGACATTTTAGCATTGATGTAACTTGATTGCGAACTGTGTTGTGAGTTTCACTCAAAACAATCTCTAATGCACTTTTACGCATTTGTATAAAAATATTTATTAACTCATTGCCACTTGTGTAATTCTCGAGCAGCATCAAAACGTTTAAATTATTGCTAGTTTCCTGCAACCATTACAAAAATGTACACAATAGTGAATTACCTATGGTAGCTACCTCAGCACTTAGCACTAAAGTTTGCAACTTCTCTTTTGTACGCTTTAAAATCCTATTTCGTAAAGCGTCTATGTCAGATTTCATCCGTTTGAGTATGGGCAGTTTGTTTAAAATGTCACCACTTAACAGCTCTAAACCTAATTAAGCTGCGAGGTAATGAATTATTAACCAACTTGTGCTCAATCATTACCTGTGTGAGTATGTTGAGCCAGGAGATATAACTGGGCAGCTTTTGAAAAATCTTCATTTTCTAGCGACACCCATATCTGGCTTATGATTACCATTACCAAACGAATTTCCATCACCATAGTTCGATCATTAGTGCTTTTTCTAGAAATAAATGTGGTACTTATATTTACACAACTCATGGATCATAGACATTCATATCCAAATGGTACAACTATCCAAAAGGAAGGACGTAGGAACAACAATTCTTAGTCTTTAGGTAAGTAGTCCACACATTGCAGTTATAATATACTACTTACGAACTCACTGGTTTCATTGATGGCTCGTCTACTAATGAGGCACCAGCGATCAAATATTCACATCTTTCCGTAATCTTTTCGATGTTATTAACAATTTCCTCAGACACGCTACGCATGCATTTTATCGCGTCCGATGCTGTTAACACATCCTTGTATCGTTCCCTAAAATATCTATAGTTTAAAGCGTTGGCACGTGAGAGAAGAGTCCACATACCCAACCATTCCTCGCAGATCGACGCGTTTTCGTTCAATTTCCACATCGAGTAATTTTTCAACTTCAATTATTTCCGATATATTGTGTTCTTCGAATAATTTATCAACGTCTAATTCCAACAAATTAGACGATAAAGTAGCCATAATTCATTAAAAATTATAGAATTGGTTGGCTTTTCTATTTTGAAAGTAAACGTCAACGTCAACTTATATTTCAAAGAAATAGGTTAGGTTAGAGAGAAGAAAAAAAGCGAGGTTGCCAAATGCAGTGCACTACTTTTAAGCAGGAGCACCAAACAATTTTAATAAGTTCCGAAGAACCCCAAACTTTCGTCTAATCAAAAATTATTACGTTTAATTTCGAAATTGAAACGGACTTAGTAAATGCTCCAGTTCTAACCACTTTTAAGACATTTCACAACTTTGATGCAAAGTATTTGATTGTGAGTTATCAATCGACTTTGCAGTTTTAACCAGTTCTAGTCACCCTCCCAAGTCCTACTCGTTTTGGCCATGGAATGAACCAGATGTGACCACTGACCTTTCAAATTAATGTTATTTAATTATAATACTTCATATAACAATAGAGAACAACCATAAGAGAAACAATTGCAAAATAAAGAATATTTTATTCGAATGATTTTATTTCGAGAACAGCGTAGGCACCACGCGTATTGGCATTTTCAGGTCTTTGGTTACATTACCAATAGACCTCAACGTGTAGTTTTTAATAAAGTGTGCGTCCAAATCGATAGCGCGCAGTACTTACAGGTGTTTCTGAAGGATCAGGTTTAGGACCCTTATTATATATTTTCTACACTACACATTTTCATACATGTCTAAAGCACTGCACCTATCACAACTCCTATATAAAAAATATGATGCATGCCTAGACATATATGGACACCACTAATAAGCATTCTTATTAACGCTGATTTTGCACCCTCCGAAGTATTTATGTCTTTTAAAACTTTAAAAGTAGACATATTGAAAAACAATACACATGTACTTCTTAATAAATAGCACTGTTTAATGACCTAATATAATTGTAGGTATGAGAAACTTAAATGCATTTGAAGTAAGAACACATTTCACCAGAATCAATTATACACTTACAAACATTTTGATAGGTACCATCAAGAAAGTAAACAGGATACAAGAAAATACAATTCAATGCAATGTATATTATCACAGTTTTTTTACGATAAATTATAAACATCATTCAGTTACAGAACTGCTTATTTAAAACTAAACTTTACACAATTTTTCAACATTCCTCATTCATAAAACACATAAAACTCGCGTTAATCAATATTCAATATCATAAAAATTTGTTTTAAATTAATTATCATATTTACAAATAACTACAAAGTAATAGTAATAAAACATCTCTATTGTATTATCGTTGAAAACCTAAGAAATCTATTAGACGGTCATTCCAACTATCAAGCCAGGTATATAATGGACTATATGTTTGAGTTAATTTCGGAGCGGCTTGTAGAGGCATATACTCTTCTCCTCTGATGCAGAAGTAGCTCTTTATTGAGCCACGGCACATAGGGCATCGTTCTAATTTGTCAAAGCAACTTGCACAGATACAGGTGTGTCTGAAACAATCGGAACATTAATATATTTCGTATACGCTTGCAAATGAGCTTCTTCATGGGATTAGCTTTTTAAGCCAGTATATTGAATATCGACTCTACAGAGTAATTTTGGAAAAAATATTGAGACTTGATATACATACATATATAATATAACAATTATATTTGTACATAAATAAATAAATTCCTTCAAATTACGCAGAAGCATTAAGGGCACAGTGGACTAACGTGTAAATTTGGCTCATTATTATTAATTAATTAGGTCTCCAATTCTTTTACTTAGTTTATTTATTGTACCAAGCCCTTTGATATAAATAAATTCTTACATATATTAATGAGGGAGTGACATTTATAAGCTCGCTTTATGTAAAAAATTTACTACCTGGATTTATAATATTAAATAGGTATAACCTTGAAATTCTAAATATGGCACTTACACTTTAATACAAATATTAATTAATTATTAATTAAATGGCGTACCATTTTAATTTTATTTTCTTATCGTGGGTGTGCCTTCCAATATTTTTTTAAAATTGAATGACAAATTCATATGTAAATTAAATATAATGAATGGTGCTTTGTATTATTGTCCAACACTATACTGCCCCCAGTTAAAGGATACCAAAAATACCTACATACCTGCAAGGTAAAAGTGCTCTTGATAACGGAAAGTATTGACAAACAACACAAAGTTGCTCTCCGCCGCTATTCCACACAGCCGAGTCTTCATTGCTAGGACATAGTAAAGTGTGTCGTATGCCATTTGAATCGGAATTGATTGGCTCAGCGACGGCTAAAGGAATTTGGCCATCCTCGTAGCCTCCGGGATTTCCCGTCGCTAAATATAATTGTTTTAAACAGGATAATTGGCCGTTTGCTTGCTTTAAATATTGGGCTAAAATACTGGTAGGTAATGTACATACGGCATCCTTAATGTGAACTACATTTATAAGGGATACCTTACGGAAAACAATTCGTTAATGGATTGTTTACCCAATCGTAAACTTACAGTTTCATCTGGATGAACGTGATCCTCGGGGTCAAGTCTTAAGAGAAATATAACTAATGGATAACAAAGTCTAGGTGGCGTTCCTAATTCTAATGGAGGTGCTGGTAGACTTAATGTTACTATGTCGTCTGAGTGAGGATCCCTCCTGGAACAAAGAAAGTAAAATCAACCATGAGTAGAAATTATAGCTTGCATTTGGGGGTTGGGGACTTATGGTATTTGAATTTATTATATAATAAATATTTTAGATGTAAAAAAACGTCACCGTAAAAGCAGTTTGTTAGGTGCCAATTTCTGATACTTTTACTGATCACTTTTCTATTGTATTGGTGTGCCAACCTATCGTCATAGATTATACTATCGTTAATAAGTACAATATTTTGCAGAATAAAGTTAACATTATCCGTGTTCATATTAAACAATCTGCGACGCATACATCTATAAAACAACCCAATGCATTTCAGATGACTTAAATGAATATTAATCGTCTAATTTACACTAATATGCGGCAGTTAGAAGATTCATCTAACAACCAAGGATACCGTCTGACATTTAATTCATATTTAAATGAATCATTTAATTATTTTCACTGTCATAAACATAATTCATAATGACAACTGTTCCTGGAGCAATTATTGTAATATATTTTTATGTAATAATTAATCTATTCCTTTGTTATGGCGTTTAATACAGAAATATTAAAAATTGCAGATATCCGATAAATGTTTTTTTCTTGATTTTTGTATTTAGCCTAATTTTTCTTACTTCTGCCAGCTGTTCAGGCTCCAGACTTTCAGAAGTATTAATTTTTCGGTCCATCTAAGACAATTTAAGTTTCTAGGAATGATGGAGGCAAGACGGGTACACAAAACTTTTCACATTTTCTGAACAAAAGCTAATTTCGATTGCTCTCCCTCTTCTAGTCAATTTCCTACTGGCTATAAAGGTAATTAAATTAAATTTTTGATTTAGCGAATATTGTCAAAATTTAATTCCTGTTTTAGTTCAGTTTGAGTTTGAGCTTTAACTACCAGAATGACTGATCAAGGCACTAAAGTGGGGTGTGTGTTAATCCCGAGGGTGCAGTAACGAGCACCCATCTATTACTCTCGCTATTACTATAATAAATCTTATTGGGCTCATTACTCCTTATCTTTCATGTGTTGAAAGTTATTGACTTTGTGTCTTTCTATTTTCCCCTTTATTTTATTTATTTGATTTATTTTATTTTTGGTCTTTATTCTTAAATGGGCGGGGTTTCAGCCAAGGGTGTTCAAATATCTTTGTCCAGAGTCGGATTCGAACCAGAGATCCCTTAGTCGAGTTTCTACGCCACTGTGCCACACACGCTCTGGATTCCCAATATTTTCTGCAGTACCATATTCAATGCCCATTCCAGATCCAAGAATACCATATATACTGCTGTTCCCTGGCACATACTTTCCCAATCAGTTGCTTTATGGTAAATATATGATCTTGCCTACTTCGTCTTTTCTTGAAATCGCTCTGTGCTTCCTCCTCGGCTACCTCTAATAGTTCTTGTACTGCATTCCTCAACCTGCCCTCTTAATATTTTGTATAATACCTTTGAATAATATTCAACAACGTAATCCCTCTGTAGTTTTCACATATTTTTGGATTTCTCCTTTTTGGAGTACTGGAATGATTATTACTACTTTCGAGTCCTCCGGAATTGTCCCGTTGTTTTGGACTTCTTTTCCCGTTTTTCAAAGGTTTTCAGTACCCCAGCTACTATCCCTTCATATCCTGAGGCCTTTTTTTCCAGGTTTTTTTATTGCATTTTCTATTTTCATGTTGTGTTATTCTGTGTAGTTTTCCACTTCTGTAATGCTTATTTCTTTGTCTATTTTTTGTTATCCATTTCCGATGAGAAACTTTTAAGTCCTTATGCTACATAATAATATGTTTCTGGGAATATTCGCACCCTACTTCTAATTAAAATTGGTTAAGGCAAATGAACTTTTATTAAGCGATACATGTTTTATAGAGCATGAAGCGCTTCATCTGGTCCCTGATGACACTGTCAAAGTGTAAGATATATCGCGTTAAAATGTGAGGAGTGTGCCAAGAAAACAAGGGAGAATCGCGCGTGCGTGGAAAGTGTCATGTGATGTAGAGAGAAAATTTAGAGTCTTAAGTTTTTCTATACCACTCCGGTATTTACCTTACGAATTAGGAAAACTGCAGGAAAACCTAATTCAGAGTAGCCGACCTCCAGTTTTGTAGCCCAACGCTCTACCACTGAGCTACAAAACCTAGTTTAAAAATTGGCGAAAAAATTAAAATCGGCAAAAGAGTAATACGTTTACTGGAAATATACGAAGTCACGATACAAACGATAGACTTAATAACGACGAAATAAAAACGAAACTACGTGAAGAAGAAAAATTAATATTAAACCGAGTATTAAACAAAACTATGTAGGTACTACAAACGAACAATCTAAGATAAACGTTTAAAACGCAAAATGAACAAATCCCATGAAAATACCAATTTATGGAGAAACGAACGCCTTCCCAGAACAAATGGAAGTGAAGTGCTTTAAATGTAATCGTCTCCGACATATTGAACGAAATTGCAAAATAATTCCAAGTGAACTGTATGCCGAACGGTATATTACTTCAAGAACGAACGAGATCAATGGATTTAAGATAGCGGAACAACTTACCAGGTGACGAGCGATAGAGAGAAATTCACAAACCTAAAGAACGATGACAGAACGAAAAAGTGTGCGGGACAAGAAATACTCAAAATCTAAATTTAGATTCCCATCAACAAATAAGGCCCTATATGTTTCAAAATCAATAAATAATCTGATATCCGTGTCCGAGTTATGTAATAACTGAAACACAGTGAACGTTGATGAATTTATTTCCCTTATGTATAAAATAATATTGTGATGGCAACCATTGCCGCAAACGCAGCCGTTATGATTAAGAGGTGCTTAATTTGAGCATATATGTGATACGGCCTTTAGTCACTTAGAATGCATAAACTTCAACCTACCTTGTATCAAACTTGTGGAGTAGTAATCAAGAACCAATCAAAATAAGAACAAGAAATGAGAAAACTTAAAATGTATAATTAATTAGGTAATAAGTAGTAGTTACAAGGAAATAAATAAATAAGAAACAATAAAAAGATCAGTACCATACCTACCTTAACGACGGCCCGGGCTGTTGGAAATAACCAGTTAATAGATTGCCACTTAAACAGGCATCTCGTAGAGTGGACCAGGGACGCCATAACTTGATATGCAGCTCTCTAATGTTGACTCCCCAATATACTTGGATCCGATATTGGACTTGACTGGATATGCTGCATTGTACTTCTGAAACAGAAAAAAACGCTGAAATAGAACCAAAGACTAGTTGGGGAAGAAAATTTAATAACCACTCTGCAGTGTTACCCTTGAAATTCTTTTGTGAATAAGCGCCCCGAGAGATAAATTATGTTTAATTTCAATAATTACTTTGCTCTATATGCATTTCAAGCACGATAAAATTTATTCAAAAGATACAAAAACAATGTATATTTTATTTTTTAATGTACAAGGTGTGGACTGCTGGTTACAAATTTGACACATCATTGTACTATCTATGCGATCAAAAATGAGTTGCTGTCGAGTGACCTTTGGAATTATTGTTTACATGGCAAATCGTATTTAACTTGAACTTCCAAAGGAGACTAAACAGCAACTCATTTTTGATCGCTCGTTAGTACCTAAGCCAGTTCAAGTGGCGAATCAATCAAGTATAGGGATTACCACAGAGATCAATGTAAGGTCCTTTGTGTCATCTTCTTTAAATTTCTATTATTTATATTTTGCTATTTTGTCCGCTGTTTACCAACATTATCTAGACAATGTTGACATTCGTGGCAGACAAATTTATATATGACATTAAAAGTGGAGAACGAGTTTCACATACCTAATTATTTGCAAACTGGTTAAATATGCGCAACACTCCCTATGGACGGACTTAACACGAAATTATGCAAAATCAATTGCCGTAATCTTTATCTGCCAAATGGGAATGAAAACGAAAGTAAAAATAAGTACCTATAGTATCATTTTAGATCAATTATAAAACTCTGATAATAGAATAACATTCTTCGAAAAAAAAGTGCTAACGGGAATCGTTCTTTTCCGACCATTTAATGAACGCGAAGTTTGACATTTTCAGATTTTTCAAAAATTTGAAATTCGTTTTTTAGTCATAAAAATGGTCAACTTTGCCCCGATTTATCAGCCAGGAATTTGAACCACCCTGTACATAGAAAATCATGCGTTGCAAAAAAGCAAACATCACCTGCTCCAAACTGCCTTATATCTCCAAAAATGGAATTCTCTTTAATTAAAGCAAGTTTGAGAACCGCGCATTAAGGACCAAGAACCAACAATACTTTAATATTAATTTTTAACCGAGTCGTACTAAATTAGATTTTCATATAAATATGTTCATTTTCTGTTTCACTACCACTTGTTGCATATTATCGAGATTCGCGATGCCGCAGGGTAGGATTTTTCTGCTCCACCATTATAGTTTTTTGGAGTAGGAAATATATATCATATTGGCCTTCGATGATTTGGCAACGGAAAAATCACTAAAGAGATTAAAGGTAATTATAAAAATGGGGAAGGAAAGTTAGCTACGACCGGCCAAGAAGTAATTCAATATGAAAACGGGGAATTTTCCAGCGGAGCGGTAGTCAATGGATGTTTTAATTTCATTAGCGTAATGGACAAGTGATGTCGCCCCTGGCGGACAAGGCATGACATTAACTTGTGGTTTTTGTAGTGATTAACTTAATTATGGAGACTGCATTACACTAAACCAACATTAGCTAACAGCATTTGTAGTAAACATCGTTAATAATTATGAATTAATAAAATAATATCCCATTTTAGAGTCTCATACAAAAAAATGAAAATATGCAACAGTTTATCTTCAAGCAAATGAATAAATCAAAATACGCGTAAGTCTAGTATTGGAAAGACAAATTTTTTTAAATATTATTTTCGATCCTCTTGCTTGGGGGACTTTAAAAAAATTAGGAATGACATTTCGGCAATTACTTATCGGCACTCCCACACTATTTTTTGTCGCAAGTTTTCTAAATAATTGGGTTGGATTTCAAAAAGTTTACATTTTATAAAATTTTAGGAGTTATAAGGGTAGTATTATTCGCATTTGAATTTGAATATAGCACAGATCATAAAATTCCATACGAAAACTAATTAACCTACCTACCATATTACTCAAATTATTACAATTAACATTTTTGTTTGTAATTTAAAAATCAAATAAGTAACTTATAAGAGTTTTACAATAAATCTACATTTTAAAATGCTACCGCAAACACCAGTAGGCGAGTTAGGAAAGTCAATATCAAACTTTTCATTTACATTACTTATGCAAGTAATTTTTTTCTACGATTAGAGAAAAAAACGTACTTCCTTTCGCTTGTCACGGACGACCATCTTATAGCACACCTTAACCTTAATGAGAAAAATAATTGGGGGTCGCACGGGTTTCCGAAATGGAATATTGGTAGATATTGTTCAGCAAATTTGCATTTTTAAGATCAAGAAAAATGTTGACATCAATAACGTCGAATTTGGTATGGACGGTATAGTTGTCAATTCATGTTGATCGGTATCTAAACAACCTTCATTTGGATATTATATATTAATTTTGTAAATGGCACTTGCTCCTTTAGATCTAATATCAAAAAGTTTTCTGATCTTGCAAAATTGAAAAAGTGCTACAAGTGACCCCTAAAGCCAACCAACTTGTGATTAATATGGATAGGTATGTTGTATTTGAATACTACTGACCCTTGCTAAATACTATCTTGTGTAGGTCACGTCACGTAGTGATACCGAGTGTTCTGTTTTCGATTTCATTCGCGGTTTTCTCAGGATTTTGACTTTAGAGCATCATTCTCAATCAAAATCGATGCCAAAAAGAGACCAATACAGGAGCACAAAATTTCATTATTTTACTTCAAAACGATGTGTTTTGCCGTTTTCCACCGAAATCTGCGCGTGCTTTAATGTGATCAACCGAAAGCATCTGCAAAAATAGTTCTTGTTGATTTATTGGGAGATCTATACCTATCAAAGGAGACATCAACGAGCTTTCTACGACTTTCTCGACTCGGACTTTCAAGTACTGAGAGCTCTCCCCTCGCAAATCTTGAGTGGCATTGTCAATAGTTTTCAGTTCCGTAAAATCCGATCTAAAATTCTAATGCTTTCATGTCGCCCCTTAAATGAATCTCTCTGTATAGATCCTCCATTATTGCAGCAACTAGAAATGTCCAAATTTGAAAAATCATCCTTTATACACCAATTTCGTCAAGGAAACCGCAAAATACATTACTTTAATGGACAGAAGAAACTTGTTTCAGCGATAGTTTTCCATACAACATACTCATAGTTTTTTGTGTGCAATTTTTCTCTATTCGCATAAATTCTACTACCTCCTGCTAAGTGTGAAATGATGCCGAAATATTACCCTGGATGCATTTCACTATACTTTCAACTACTTTACTATGGTTAAAATGGTTATTCATGCACCAAGATCTTTAATGGTTTTGTGCACAGACTGTTTTGGCAAGTCTCTGGTTTTGTGTCATTCAGTGTCCACTTTATCATCACTGTCCATTTTATATCGACCTTAGTCTCGGCAACGGATCATTGTAGAACCTTAGGGTTTTTTGATATTCAAAAGGAAGCGAATGGCCAATTGTACCATCAAAATTAAGTATCCCTTAAACTTAAGCATAACTTATAAATACCACACCAACGATTGTCTCAATAATCGTTGCCATAGATTTTAAGTTCGAGTTAACTTGAAGCAAGACTTAATTTTGTTGGTGCAACTGGGCATAATAGTTTGAACTGTCGTCTGACAGTTCGTTCGGGCTGTTTTTAAACTTGTTTTTACATGAATTCACCAACCAACCGAATTTGATTTTGCAGTTATTTGAACTTTCAAATGATGTGTGAGTTTTAAAGAGGAGGTGCAGGAGTTAATGCTAAAACCAAGGTAAACCCATGGGTAGGGTTGCCATCCGTCCGGGTTTCCCCGGATTTGTCCTAGTTTAGGGGGCGTCCGGGGAGCGTCCGGGCGGGGATTCATTGGTAGTCCGGGTTTTAGGCTACTGAGGCATCTATGAGTTTCTGTCAAATTTTAAGCCAACAAGATAAACTTTTAAGCGCCAATCAGCTTTGGTTACAATTTTTTAAAACGCTGAATCCTCATTTATACTTGGACGTATTGAAAATTGCTTAGTTCTTTTTTGCATTCCTGCTCATAATGCCAACGTTGAAAGAATATTTTCACTAGTGGCATAACAGTGGACCAAAGAAAGGAATTTATTGAATATTGAAACAGTCTAGTCAGTGATAAGAATAAAGTACAATTTCAAAGACTTTTTTTAGACAATATTTTTTTATCAAATTCAGTTGATATGTCCGGATTTATAATCCCTAAATCCGGGCTTTTCACGCTTCCTGTCCTAGTTGGCAGAGGTTTGAGATGGCAACCCTACCCATGGGTGAACCTTACATTAAACTTCCCCTTAGTGTGTTTTTGTAATTTTTGATTTTTAACATTCACGTATAGAACAAACGGTGATACCTATATACTTAGTTAGGAAGAGAATCAACTGTGCGTAAACAATTGAAAAAATGCAGCAAATTATCAAAGACAAACTTCCGATTGCAACATTTTTCGCCAAGGTTGTTACAAAAAGTTCTTGACGAAAAATGATCTTCATGCTTATTATTTAATTACAGATCCCATATCAGGTAGATATAATATAGGACATTAATATGAATAATTTCAACACGTCTACGTGACCACTTTGAAGGTTAATCTCAGATCCACAATTAAAACCGCACGGCGTCGACTAGATGTTATTATCATCCCAACAACAATCAAAATGTTAACGTCCTTTGATTACTATAATTATGTGTTCATTACTACGTTATTACTGGACTGAAATACGTGCATTTTTGAAAGTTTTATATCTAGGAAGATCATTATCCACCTGTTTACATGTAAACTGTCCAAAAACTACTATTCATCAAATTAAATAGGTACCAACACACCATTTTCAACGACCACCAAATACTCATTAAAATTTTGTTTACAAAGTTATAATCCCCATAAAAAATATTGTGTGATGCAATTTCAAATTCATACATTAAAAAACGAGTTTTTCACACTGTTTTAATTAAAGGTGGTCCCGGTCCCAAATATGCTCAAACTTTTGACCTCCATATGAGGTTCAAACAAGTTTTGGAGTCCAGTTACATTA